GAGACACAGTTTTGCTCTGGAGCCCAGGTTGGCCTGGAATTCTATGTAGCTTAGTTAAGCCTCAAATTCACCCCAACTGTCTTGCCTCATGCTTAGATTTCAAGTGTGAGCCACCATGTCAAGCTGAGACCCTGGGTTTGATCACCAACACCATCAAAAAAAAAAAAAGTTAGGATGATGATAACCATAAAGTACCATTCAGTCAAGGAGCTCTTTCTTCGTGGTACACACTATGCAACAGGCATTATGGTAATGGTACAAAAGCAGTGAGCCAACCTTAGTCTGAAGCTGTTGGGTTCAATCTTCAGGATAAACGTGGTAAGAGGGATCTCACCAAGCACACCCTGGGGGACTGATGAATTTATACGGCTTGCCCACAGAGCTTACCCGGGAGAATTCAGGACTGACTGACAGGAGCATCCTGAGAGCTGCTGTATTGGAAAGTCTACATAGTATAGATGATGGCTTCCCATAACCATGTAGCTGGAGCCCCCTTTTCCTAACCTCGATAGCCTATATTGCCACGGTCCGCCTGGGTTCAGGTCCTGAGATGGGGAAGAAGCACCATCTCAAAGAAATGAAGTGTCTGACCACCAGATGAGTTTCACTGGAGTGGCTGGCCCGGAAGAGCTCCAGCAATCTTTATACATCAAAAACAAGCATGTTTTCCCATATTAACAAACAAGTTTTTCCCATCCTTCAACTTTAACCTCCACTAAAAACAAGTATGTCAAACACAGGTTTCTCCCGCCAATTTTTACATCAAAACATCTTTAAACCCAAAACAACACTTTTCATTTAGTTAGCCTGGCCAAATACCTAGCCAGGTACATTCTGTCTTTACAAAACTAAAGGTGATAAACAAAGGCACACATTTTTAGAACACTATCGTTTGAAACATATTTACAGAATAGGGGGTAATCCTGCCTCCAAACCTGTCAGCACCAAATTAGAACAGCTCCCAGGTCTGAAGTGACAGCTGGCATCTCTAGACAAGGAACCCGAGAAGCATCAGCTCCCAAAGAATTTTAGGGGAAGATATTCTACAGCAGGCAGGTAAGGCATGTAGATTAGATTAGGGACCTTGGTATGAGGAAACACCTTGCATAACAATCAATAAATATGCCTTTGCAAGGTTGTCCATCAGAGAGGCTAGACCTTCCTACTGTCACATAGGCCTTAAAATTTCATCTTGGGATGCCTTCTTTCTTCAACCAACCTGCGCTACATGGTGCACCCCAACAATGGAGATATTGCAGGTTCAGTTCCAGAACAGCACAATAAAGTAAATATCACAACAAAGCAGGCCACATGAATATTCCACCAGTTTGCTTAACTACCAAAGAATAAAACCTGAAAATTTTTTTTGGACGGCTCTCAGGTTATGACACAGATACACACGTTAAGTTGTTTAGGCCCATTGTTTGAAAATGAACTGTTATATATTTCTTTTGGCCCAGGGCTCCACTGAAAAGCCAGGATAAAAGTCTGCTTTAAATCTAGAAAGTTTATGGAAACTGTTTGTGACCTGAGTAAGTTTTCCCTGGAACACAGTAACCAGCATAGTGTTTTTCTTACATTGTACTTACCCCAGGGTTTGCAGCAACTAAGGAAAACTCATGAGAGAGATCAAGCTTAATGCCATCAAAATTTATTTCTGAAGGTCTTGCAATTGGGTCAGCACTAAAAACATAAGATGGTCTGGGCAATCCATCTTGATTCAAGTGAGATTCCATTCTACAAAGAAGAGCAGTAACCTCTTTAGACAACTGTAATAAATCAGCATATAAGCCACCCACAATTTGAAGTCTACACTCAAGAAACTTGGATATAGTTCAGTTAGACTACTTGCTAGCATGCACAAAGCCCTGGGTTCCATCCCAGGCATAAACAGGGTATAGTGGCATGGGCCTATTATCCCAGAACTAGAGAGGTGGAGCAGGAAATCTGAAGTTCCCGGTCATCTTAGCTTCAAAGGGGATCCAAGGCCAGTATAGGCTACGCCAAAGACCTTTTCTCAAAGAACAAAAAAATAAATAAAAATAGTTTGGGCATGATGGTGTAAGTCCAGTTCCCTAACCCCTCCAGGGAAAAAGCAGGTGGATCTTTGAGTGTGAAGCCAGCCTGATGCATAGAGTGAGGCCCTGTCTCAAATTAACTGATTAATTAATATAAAAAAATAAAACCTACAGTTTAACCTACTACTTCCCACCCAAAAAAAAAAAAAATGGATTTCAGAGAAAGAAAACATTAGACTGCTTCATTTACAGTACAACAACCTATGAAAAGACAAAAGGCCAAATTCTATTTACAGATTCTGAAGATACTAATATTGAACACTACCTACAACTATTCATATAATCCAATTCTTAGGTAGATTCATCCAAAGGCATGCCATGAACAAATGCATGTAATGAAGAGAATATGAAATGTTCACTCCGCCTGAAAGCCTCATCTCAGAAATCAAATCGCAAAGAGACCATGGGGTGAAGCGAGACTTTGTGTTATTTTCATTACTTAGTATCTTCTCAAGAGTGTTCCAAATCAAATTTTAACACTTAGGACTGAAACTTGGCTATCTGCAAAATGTCTTTCAATTTGATTCTTGCAACTTTAAGTAAAATGTGAAATAATGCATATAAACTTTACATTTAAAAGAAAGGACTGGGTCCTAATTAACAGTGCAGTTCTTGGTACCTGAAGCTCTTGGAGTCAATGGCCAGGGCAAGCCACCCCAAAAATAAACTACAGGAAAAAAAATCAGTAACTGACAGACACAAGTCTTAAACTGAATATGGAATAAAGCCATCATTGAACTATTAAATCTGAAATCTAAATTGAGCATCATTACAAGGCAAACCTGACCAAAAAAAAAAAAAAGTATTTTTAAGAATCAACTAGATGCCACAGGCAGTGGTGCCCTCACGCCTTTAATCCCAACACTCGAGAGACTAAAGCTAGCTTGGTCTACAGAGTGAGTTCCAGGGCAGCCAAGGCTACAGAGAAACCCTATCTCAAAAAACAAAAACAAAACAAAACAAAACAAAAATCTACCAGATGCACAATAACAGAGGAGAAGAGGACTCCTAGATGCCTCTCTCCTGTTTTGTTTTTTCAAAGAAACAAATTAACAACCTAAAACATTTACACGGAGATTCCCAATTTAAGTAAACAAATGTCATCCATCTACATTTGTTTACTGTACAGTAGGCTCAAGCTGCATGCCAACATGCCCAACTAAAACTGGTCCACTTCCACTTTCTTTATATACACATAAAACCCAAATAAGCGTATTTTCTAGCCACAAAGTGGTGTGACATAAAACACTGGCCTCTGCCCAGAAAGAGACTTTGTCACGTGCCGAAACTGCTCCCCTGCAGGATTCAGGCAGCCAGATGTGACAAAAGTCTTCAAATCGAGCTTGAACCTCCTTTAACAGATCAGGGAACCAAGGCCCAGAGAGATTCAAGTCTTGCGTGTCTCAACTACCTGCAAGGTGAGGCTCAGCCCCACCTCCAGCAGCCCCGCTGCTCGACCTCGGGCGTCACGAGCCCCGTCGACGCTGACACTGCCGCGGGGTCGCAGCAGCCTCGGGAGCTCTGTGCAAGCAGCCACCCTCCGCACCCTCAGAAGCATCAGCTCCTTACCTGCAGCACCGCCGGTCCCTGCCTCTCCGTTTTCAAATTCAAACAATGGCGGCCCGCACCGCACTGGACCCTGGGAGTGGGCGGGGCTTCCGGAGAGCCCTAGGAGCTGGGCAAGCGTGCCGGGGACTTTTGCCAGCGGTTCCGGAGCGGGGTGGGGGGTGGGGGGAGTGGAGAAGTCATTCAAATCTGGGGGCGGGACTTGGTGCTCTGGACGACCAATGGGCAGTGGCAGGCTCGCGGGCCGCCGGGCTCGGGGTTCTTCTCTGGGTTTCTCCCAGCCGCCAAAGGTGTGACCCGTCATTCCAGACGCAGGTCGCAGAGTCTGTCCTTAAGACTGAGGAGATGACGGCTCCGAGCTGAGGCCCCTGCCGCCACGCTTAGTCCCGCGAAGCTCCCAGGCGGGTAGGAATGACGGCGGACCAGTCATCGCGAGTCCTGTCATTCCTGGGCCAGAAAGGACTTACGACCTGGGACCCGGGTCACTTCCCTCGCTGAGTGATCCTACCTGCTGTCGACAGCGGCCCTCCTGGATGAGACAGATTTGTCCTCAAAATACATTTTAGAAGCATTTCCTTCATCTTCTTTTTTCTTTTTCCGTTTGGCTTCTCTGAAAGTATAAACCAGCTACCGCCGCGAGGCGTTGTGTTTTGACAGTTTTATCTTAGGCAAGGTCTTTGCAGTTTCTCTGATTCTCTAAAGTGATCCTTTTCTGAGTGAGGTACTTAATTTACTAAAACATTCCTATGACCGGGATTAACTGCTGGAGCTAGGCTTCACTTTTAATTAAAAACAATGCTAACGTAAACTGAGCATTTACGTTATGCATTTACCTTATGCCTCCACTGGCACTAAGTTTATAGAATGGATTGTCTGGTCCAGAGAACAACCCTTTTAAGGTAGGTATTGCTATCATCCCATTTTATACATTCTAAAATAAGTAATGGGCACAAAGGCAAATGAAACCGAAATTTAAATTTAGCTGAAGAGTTTTGTGACCCTGCTTTCCTCTGATCATATTTTCAGCTATTGACTTGCTTGGAAGCGTTTTTGGTACACTTGTTTGACAAAATTTAGTGTTTTCTACCCTTAATACAATATTTGCATCTCCCACTGACTTCTCACTGTCTTGTTCAGTTTGCCCACCCACCCCCCACCCCCGCAAAAAATAAAATTTAAGAGAAACTAGTTTGGAATAGAGAAGTGGATACAAGGCCAGAAGGGAAAATGAACAAAGAAGTGTAAAAGGAGGAAAGATCAAGATAGAAACTTTTCCTTGTCAGGCTGGAATTAAAGTCTTTTGTTTATTTTTGGTTTTTGAGACAGGGTTTCACTGTGTAGTTTTGGTACCTGTCCTGGATCTCGCTCTATAAACCAGGCTGGCCTTGAACTCACAGAGATCCGCCTGGCTCTGCCTCCTGAGTACT